CTTCAAATCCTGGGCATCCCTGAGAGATGGTTTTCCATGGTCAGTTCCTAGTGAAGTCAGCATCTTCCACTGTTAAGGAGCATTAACTGTTGAAAGGATCTTCTACTTAATGAGGTTGAATCCACTCTTTCTATGATTTGTAGCCTTTAGTCCTGCCAATACAAGTTAAGCATCCCAAATCCAACGGTCTGAAATCCAAAAGGCTCCAGAATCCAAAATGTTTTGAGCACCAACATAACACTCCAAGGAAATGCTCGTTGGAACAATTTAGATTTTGCACTTGTGGATTTGGGAGGCTCAACTTGTAAGTATTTGCAAATATTCTAAAGCCTGAAAATAACTGAAATCTAAAATACTTCTAGTCCCAAGCATTTTGGATCAGAGATCCTCAACCTGGACCTTTATCATACAACAGGCTTCCTCTTGCTCAGGGTATCTGAACACTGCTGTCGTGTCTGCACGTAGTCTCACCATTCCTCCTTTCCTCGGTTGATCCTCACAGGACTTGGTTGCCAGAACTTTCATTTCTCTGCTTGCAGTGCTTCAGCTAGGTCATGCATGGGCGGAATCCTGGGACAGCTGTGTAGGGTTGTAGTGTCTGTTAATCTGCAGCCCAAGGTTGTGTGAGCTTTTTGAGGCACTGTAGCCTGTTTGACCCGATAGGATTTTTGTTTTGGACTTGACTTAGCTAAATATCGGGTTGTAAATTTAGCGCATTTCTCCAGGATTGCTTATTTGTAAGACACATCCTGAAATGATGAAGTTTTCCGTGTGAAGGTAGTGAATAATTCACAAAGGAGGAATTCCATGTGTGTTTTTAACTTGTAAAACATCACCTCAATCTGTGCGTAAAAATATAGTTAGCGTGAGCCTATATCCACGTGATTACTCTCACCAAAGAGCAGAACCTAGCAGTCATAGACAAGGATTTTCTGAATGCTGATCTCATCCTATTCCATGTGATTCTCTTCAGTGTGGCCTTTTGGTGTGGGAGAAAGAAGATCTTTCCTCTACCTTCTTTTCTTCTAGGCATGTCTTACATCCAGGTGAGACCCTGTGGTGTTCAGTGATCTCTTGGGTGAGAACTCTGAGTATGGCCACAAAGATCTCTCAGATGAAGTTTCTGGCTGCACATCGATGCCTCTTCATAGTTAAATAACTGAAAGGCATATGGAGAACTTTCAGTCTTGTTTTAACTGTGACTTCATCTCTTGTAGCTTATTCTTATACTGTGCAGACCCAGTTTCAAGACACACACAGTGTTGTGGTACCACTTACACTACCATTTATTTAATCAATTTGGATGGCTTCTGCTGCTCTTGGCCGTGGACCTGCAAAAACAAAGCCATGGGATAAAGCGGCCTGAATCATGTAATGAAAACCTTGTACCTTTCTGGAGGCCCGGTTGAGAAAAAATGATTTATTTTTGCCCTACCCAATAAAACATTCTAGGAATCCAAGGTGAAAATTGGATTTTAACTGCCTCTAACATTTTGAGCATATAAAATCAGCAAGTGTTGAGTGTTTTGCTTGATTAGGAGACGAACCTAAAGAGTCCAGTACAAGAATGATCTGTATATGATGTGAACTGGTGTCTTACATCAATTTTATAAAACTGGAAATAAACCCTAAGCACACTTTGGCAGCCAGGTTGCAACAGTGGGGACCTCTGTGTTTTTACAGAATCATTTTGTTCCCAGTCTTAGGCCTGGTCATTGTTGCCCTTTCCTCCCTTCAGTCCTTCATATTTCAGGGTTACATGTTTTGTGATTAAGCTCAAGGAGTATGGAAACTACCTGATTCCAGCCCTCAGTATGTGCCTGTCTTCTCTCAGGTTCCCGTTTGTCCTCACGTTGGATGTGTCTCTCCCTCTTCCTCTCCCCACTCTGCGTGTACATGCGGATGCATGTTTGTTTCTCTGTCTCTGGGACTACCTACCCACCTACCACTTTATCATATTTCCTTTGGTCCAGTCTTCCCCCATGTCTGAGACTATTCATCTGTGGCCCCACCGCTGTTCCAGCCTCGGGGACTTTCCCTCACTGCACGTGGTTAAACACTTCGCTGAGAGCCCTGTCTTCAAACAGACTTCTCCGAGTCAGTGCGTTGGTATCTGGCACACAACGTCCCTCGCTGTTTATCCAGTTGTGATGTTTTATGAGAGAATTTCCTTATTTCAAGGAATGCGTGTCACGTGTCTACAGGAGTTACTGCCCCGGTTTCAAGAGATGTGATGGTCTTGGGCTTTACTGACTTACACTAGGGCTTTTTTCAGTGCCTTCCCCAGAATTACGTGTTTTTTCAAGTTCATCTAAAAGAAAAAAGCAATTGTTTTGGTATGCCTACTTTTGCTTAACTCAAAATGTCTTCAACACCAGCTTTATTAGGGAAATTCATTTTGTCTCAGGGTCATTTCTTATGGAGTCTGGTACTTTCGAGAGGGCAATTGGACTAACCTGTTTGATTGACAGGACCATTTACAATCTACTCCACTCACACACCTTCTACTCCCTGGGGAATCCGACAAACATTAGGGGCTTCAAATGGGACATCTGGAGTAGGGAGCTTTTATCTATAATAATAATAATAATAATAATAATAATGATAATGGTAATGATACCTGACACATGTAAGTGGTCAGCTATAATGTTCAGCATTGCACGTGCCTTTTTTCTTTCATGTTTCATGACCCTGTGAGAAAGATACTACAATGCAATCTATGTTATGGGTAGGAAAATGTCTAAGATAATGCGTGTAAGAAGTCCTACAGTCAGAATTCATACTCAGGCCTCTCTAACTCCTGAGTCACATTTTTAATCACTATCATATACTGCTGTTGGAGAGCACACAGCATCCTGTTGAAATCATTAAAAATAATGAAACCTTAGAACATCAAAGCTATGATGTAACTAAAACTTAGCTGGGCCTTCTGTGGTTTGGTCTTGTTTTACAATTTGGATATGTAGTCACTTAGAGCCTTAATCAGAATGCTGCGTGCTTGGACCTGGCGGGAAAGAAACGCTGTCCCTGGAGGCCTGCCAGGTGACTGGTGTCTACTACCTGCTGTCCTTCTGAGGGCCACCACCTGCCTGGACCTTCTGTCACCACACACTGCTCACTAGCCTGAGGTATGGATGCTAAACTTCCATTGGTTTTCTTGGTTTTTTTTTTTTTTTTTTTTTTTTTTGAGATGGAGTCTGTCTGTCGCCAGGCTGGCATGCAGTGGTGCGATCTTGGCTCACTGCAATCTCTGCCTTCTGGGTTCAAGTGATTCCCCTGCCTCAGCCTTTTGAGTAGCTGGGACTAGAGGCATGCACTACCATGCCCGGCTAATTTTTTGTATTTTAGTAGAGACGGGGTTTTACCATGTCGGCCAAGATGATCTCAATCTCCTGACCTCATGATGTGCCCGCCTTGGGCTCCCAAAGTGCTGGGATTACAGGCGTGAGCCACCATGCCTGACCCCTCCATTGGTTTTCATACAGCCATTGCTTGCCTGGATGGCCTACAACTAGCTTGTTCCTTAGTTCCCTAGGTTGTTTGTTCCTTTCTTCATGCAGTGTTTCCTGAGCATTTGCAACATGTACTGTGTACTGGAATATAAACATAAGATACATATGCATTGAACAGAAATGCATCGCAGAGGCAGTAGACTATATAGACAGTGCTGTGGGATAAAAAGGAGGGAGGAACTCATTGGAATTAAGGAGATAGGGGAGGTTATAGTGATGGTTCTCAGAGCTATTAATACATGTCAAGGGTTGAATAAAGTCTATTCTGGGAAAGAAAAAAGGAGAGGGTGTTCCAGGGAGACGTGCTCCTTTTGGAAGGACGTGGTTTGTTCAGAAAATAAAGAGCCCTTTGGTATGTCTGCAGGATAGAGGTGGATGGGGACAAGAGATTGCCTCAGGTGGGAATAGGAAGGACCTTATAGATCATTCTAGAGTGTGCAGTTTTCAGACAATGGAGAGTCAGTGAAAGGGTTTCATCAGTAATGTGATCAGATTTGAATCAGATTGGAAAGACAACTCTGGAAACTGTTGGGAGGATTTTTGTAGAGACTGAGGCAGAGGAAGGCAGAATAACCCCTTGGATGCTCTGTGTTTACACAGGAGACAAAAATGTGGGGTGTGTTAGCCTGCACAGCAGGGGTGGAGAGTCAGGTGGTCCTCCCCTCAGGCTGGCCTTTGGATAGGTCCACAGAGCAGGATCTGTTTTCTTAGGCACTTCCTTGCCCCACTGAGGTGGTCTAACTTCAGGGCCCTGCCTCTCAGCTTTTTCTCACTTCCTATGGTTGACCAGGAGTCTTACCTGGTCTTAACACTGGACAACCATGTTGCACCAGTAGCCTGTAAGTCCTGCTTTTCTGCCTGCTCAAGCCGGTCTTGCTTAAACATGCTGGCACCTTCCTAGCTTGGCTGACCTCCCCGGGTCAGAACACTTGGCTGCCTGGAGCCTTCGTCTTTGCTACAGCTGATTTGGCCCAGCCAGTAATTGTTTCTTCTGTCCTGTCAGTGCCCAGGCCTTGGGGTTATAGGAAGATCAGAAGCCTCTTGTAGGTGGGACCTGTGCCATCTTCTCACGTTTTACACACATGCCATACCCTTAGAGTTCTGTTCCCAGATGATCCACACAAGAGATTTAAAGAGACAGATACAACTAAAATCTAAAAAGCCTATATTGATCTTATACATTATGAGGCTCTTATTAAGAAAAAAAGGCATTGGAAATGTAAGTTTTATAAAGTACCCTGAGCAGTGACAGATTTTCTTAGACTGGAAATACCAAGGTGCTGTCATTTGGAAATGTACTTGTTCATTTTTGTGTTGTATTGATTTCTGTCCAGGTATTTTCTTTCCAAGTTTTACAGTTTTTTTCCTTTCTAATTGTGTCGATAACAAGGGAACTGGTTTATAGTGTGACTGTGAGGTACAGCAGTGCTCTGGGGCTGGGCATCCTGCACTCAATTAACCTTCATATTTCACACCTAATCATTGCAGTGTGGCAAAGCGCTCCCTGGCCTTTCAAAGCAAGAGGACTGCTGTGGAACTGTGGGTACCTCCTGGGGCTTTAACAAATGCCAGAAATGCCCCAAGAAACCATGTAAGTAATGTTTCCTCACTCCTTTGCAGGTCAATGTAGCATATCTGTTTTTTATGATTACTCGTTTAATGATGAGGCAGTATTAGACGTTCAAATAACTCTCTTACTGAATTCTAGAATGTAGTACTGTCATATGCATTTCCAGAAAATTTGCAAGTCTGAAAAAGTTTTCATGTCAATTATTTTGTAATAAGCACAATTATTAATTATCCTCTTTAGTTGGATTACTTATGGGGAAAAAAGTCTTAAGCGGTAATGAGCTAAAACAGACTTTTTGTCTCAGGGGAAGAGAAAATAAGATCTCTTTTGAAATGGTGAGTAAATGTTTCAAACCCTATAAAAAGTCAGTGCAGTTGTTATTTCCTAGGTTTAAATTCCTTAAATGAGATTTTTATTAATATCCACAACGTATGTTGTAGTTTTTGTTATGTTATCGGTTTTCAAATGTCATTAAAAGGAAAGCTGAAATGGAGAAATAATTGGTTGTTGATTTGTAAAAGAGAAACTTGTAATCACTAGGACACAATTCTTTCCCATTTTTTCTAACACTAGTTTTATGCTGTCACAGACCTCAGCAACATTAATCTGTATTAACACCCCCAGGCTTTGATTTGTTTTTAAAGTATTTTTCAGAACATATTGATCTGAATAAATCAGGTTTACACCTTTTTAATACTGTCTTACCAACAATAATTTGTACCTTTAGTTTTTCAATGTAGTATTAACTCTGGATAACTGATTTCTAATATCCAGAATATATTATTAGAATATAATATTCTAATAACTTTAGTGAAAAGTTCCTCATAATTAATGAATTCTTCATTTACAAAAATAATCCACGTAAATAAGGACATTTTCAGTACTGAGAGAATTTTCCAAGTAGATGTTCTAAGCTGATTTGATGATCATTTGCAATGTGAATTTCCAGGAAATAGGTTGAGTGTGATGGTTCATCCTCACTGGAAGATCCATTTGCTTAAAATTATTTTGTCAACCTGACCAAAGGGATCGCTATGATACATTTGGTTTGATTTAAAAATTTTAGTGTTTGAAGTTAGGTAGACCTGAGTTCGATTCCCAGCTCTTTCATTTACTATTGAGTCTTATGGATCATTAAACAGGAATCTATAGCTAAAACGTTGAAAAGGCATTGCCCTCTTTTTTTTTCCTTAAACCTGCCTCTTCTTTGTTTACCGTGTCTGTCTGTCTGTAGGAATATTGAGGAGGATGATATGTTTTCCACTGTTAGGTCGAAGGATTAAGGATGAGGGAAGTTAGTTTCATAGAACTTTGTTTTGGGGCTAAGTCTATGTTCTCTAATATTAAATACCTTCCCCATCTTTCTTATTTTTCTTTTTCATTTACCCTCTTCTTTGTGTATCTTTTGCTTAGCTGTTTCTCTTCTCTCTCGTGTCTAAACCCCAAAGTAGCAGGGATGTGATAGACATTTAAGGTAAAGCGACTCCTACTGTCCTTTTTTGTTTTTTTAATCCCTAACTTCCACTCTTGACCTTTTGTCATTTTTGTCTAGAATTGCGTCATTTTTATCTAAGATGAGTTCATTGATTTCTGTGGTTTGTGAGCTCTATATTTTGATCTTGATAAGGACTTAGTTGAATGTGAACATGCAAAGTTTGTCACTTTTAACTACATGTTGATGAAAATAAATCCATATGTTGGCTCATTTAATGTATAAAATTGAAGAAACTGCTTTCACTTCAGGGAGGGCAATGTGGACTATGAATGAAGTAAACTATTAACATCTTGACATTTATTCTGTCTGTGCTGTCTTATGTGACTCACTCCCAAGAAACACACTCAGGGTCACATTCTTCCTGTGTCATTTATAAAGTTTTCCTTTCCTTGGTTGGGACTCCTCTCTAAATCATGTTCAGTTTGGAAGGAAGCAGACTTTCCTTGGCTTTCTCCGCTATGGTTTTGTGTTCCACACCTCTTTTTTTTGTTTGTTTTTTTCACTCAAACTAGTTCAAACTTTACTTTTCAAGTGGCTTTTATTTAACATTTGAAGTTTTTATTTAGCCACATACAGAACGGCCTTTCGTTGTTGATCGTTTTTTTTTTTTTTTTTGCCGTGAAAACTTAATTTTAAATCTGCAAATGATTTCATTAAATAGTTTGTGACCCATTAGAAATGTGCTTAGCATGAACAAGTCACTTGTCCTTTAAAACTTTTGAGAAGAAAATGAACATAAAATCCTAAACTGAGGAGGACTGTAAGAGATTGCCTGGTCTGGCCCTCTGCCTTGAAGTAGATGACTGTTGAAACTTCTAAAACAAGTTAATATCCATCTCTTTTGTCTTTGAGGAGTTTGCAGCCAGAGATCCCACAATCTCTGCAGGAAGTGTGCTCCAGTGGTCTATGGGACAAGACAGACGTGAGGCCAAGGAGCTGAATGGGGGGACTCCCACACGCCCATATCTCCCCTCTTTTAATTTGCCTTTCCCAGATGCCTCACTCTGATCTCTTTTAGTCATCTGGGGGAATCTGAAGAGAGAGGAAATACAGCAAAGAAAAGAATTGAAGTAGAAGAGGGACACCCCAGTACCTATTCACCCTGTTTGTTTAGTGGTGATAGATAAAGCTTATATGGGGAGGCTGAAATAATTTTATGTTTTAATAGAAAATTTCCCTTTTTATTTTCTACTTTCCCCTTTTACTCCTCTTTCAAGTCTTTTTAATGGTCTAATCTTTCATCCCATTTTGATTATAGCTTGTTTTCTGTTGCGTAGTATTCTCTTAATAGAATTCCTTATTGCAGGACATAGCAATGGCATTTGACATTTTGGGAGTGCTTGTCACACTCAAGCCCTGTGGTAGGCATTTTTCATGAATTCTCTCTAAACTGCGGAAGTACTCTTCCTGCTCAGTAGGTGGGAATTACCCTCATTGTATAGAATTTCTGTGTGAAACCCAAGAGGCTTGTTTCCCAAGGTCACAGCTATTGATAGGAAGAGGATTTGAAACCCACTTCTGCCACATCCCAGAACTTTGGCTGCATCCACTATGCCAGGTGGCCTCTCAGGTCTCACTCAAGAGTATCAGAATCTCAGGAAATAGGATTTTGTTGAGAAGTTGGTGATTGCAACATTTGTATTGTTTGCCTATTCTGAGTGCAGCCCTTTTAATTTCCTGACTTCCTCTCATCACCTGCCTATTCTTCTCAGGTTCATAATAGTAAGAATCATCTCATGACTAGGATGTCCGAGCCAGTAATTAGGATGAGTGTATAATTTATTGTCTAAACTGGGACACTTTGGGGAGTAAAGTACTGTTAATTAACTTTGCTGGAATAACAGACATCACCCAGAATGTTCCAGGACATGTAGTAACCCTACCTACAATGGATAAGAAAATCCAAACCCTGAAGCACATCACTGGGGAGGAATAGATGCTTTGTGATGGAAATATGTAATCACTAATTAGAAGAAAATGTACAACAATCTCAAGATTGTTTCAGTTAACATAATAAAGATTTACTGATAACTTCTTGGGACTTTATTGCAAAATAAGAAGTATCCTGAAAAATAAGCAGAATGGGAAAGAAATTATGGAGATATACATTGGTATTGGTTTCTTGTATTAATAAATGAATAAGTAAGTCTGCTGATGCCTTAAATGGCTTCAGATGTCGCTTATAATAGTCTAAGATTGTAAGAATGTAAACTAAGTGTGTAACAAAGCATTTCTTCCCTTACAGCTTATCATGGATACAACCAAATGATGGAATGCCTACCAGGTTATAAGCGGGTTAACAACACGTTTTGCCAAGGTAAGACTAACTGAATTCATTGATGTGAACTCAACAGTTGTTTTGGTTTTTAGAAACGTCAGTTGTTTGCCACAGCTTGCTCATTCGCCCAGCCTGTCACAGTGAACCATCTCATGTTCACTCCTTTTGGCTAAGGAAATAGAAGGAAATAAGTTTAAAGTATGGTTATTGGAATTGCTTTATTACCACTGACACTTGCTGCAAGTTTTTAATCTAAAAGAGTTTGGATAGGAGTTTGGATCACATTAGAGAGCACATGTGGTTTCCATGCTAGTCATATCCTTGCATGGGCATGTGCACATATGTGCTTGCATGCACCCACATGTACCTGGCAGTTCTACTTCATTGCCAGTGCATGGTTGGGCAACAGAGTTCCCTTTTCTCCTGTCATCGAAATGTTGCTGGTCATGTCAGGAACTAGATATCAGAGTAAACACATTTTGCTTAGGCAAGAAGAAAAGCTATGTAGCTAAGTATGAAATGCCCTGAACACTTTTGCTCAGTTTATGTTGAACAGTACAGCAAAGTTGTACAAGCAGGGGGAAGCTGGGAGATTGTCTGGTCCAGTGTCTACTTTATAAATAAGAAAACTCAAGCCCAGAGAGGTTAAGTGACTTTCTTGTGGCAGCATAGAGCTGAGATTATAACTTGAGTTTACCAAGGCCTAGTTTAGTACCCAATATGATACCATATTTTGTTTTAGTTACTTTATGGGAAGATCAACGCTTCTAATTTCCCTTTACATGTCTAGGATGAAGATGTTATTAGTAACTTGGAAATACGTGTACATTGAAATCGAGAAAGCAGAGAGCCTCCCAGAGTCTAATAGAACCAAAAGCCATGTTGAGAACATGGCACATGTCTTCTGACTTGTGTTCTGAGGCTCTGTATCCTTGACCAGCATATGTATTTAGGATAGAGTAGATTAAGGTCATGTTACAGAGTATAGGTTAACCCCCTATTCAAATGGCTCATGTCAAAGGAATATCTTGATTACCTGAGAATTTTCTCAAGTAAATTGTCTATAGTGCTGCATCTGTGTAACTTTTTTGATGTGTAGAGTCTTTGTTAACATAAAAGACTTTTCTTTAGAAATGCACATATATTCTGTCTTTAAAAGACTTTTTCTTAAAAATATTGTAAGCCCTCATCGTGTGTCACAGAATGTTGAGAAAATTAGAATTAACCACTTAAGGAGAGGCCACCCATGACACATTTTGAGAAACATCTGTAAAACTTAGTAACATGGGAATATTGGATTATTCTATGTAATTTTAGAGTCAGAATTTAAGGTATCATTAAATTAATTAGATGGATGAATGAGTAGGTTAAATTAAATAATGAACAGATTTTAAGATGCATATTTTACAGTATAAACCAAGTTATTGTTTTATAGAATTGGATAAACGTCTATAGCCTTAGCACATTTGTAGAATGCATTAGTAGAAATAGAATGAACAGGGCAGTGGAAGTAACAACCTTGTACACTGTGCCCGTCAGACTGATTTTGGGGTTTGGATGTTCAGTGTTCATTATTGTCTTTTGGTTAATAAAGTCAACCAGGTTTGTGAAGGGCCTAGAAACATAAGTGTGTTTAGCACACAGAAGTACAGACTGAAGGGAAATATAATGGCTGCCATATAAACACGCCTTTAAATGTTTGTAAACATGCCACTAAATGATTAACTGTCCTACAAAACAAGACGTACCTAATCACAGAGGACATTTCAGGAAACTAGGTGTCTAGGGGCTAAAACTTATGTGAAAAGCTGAGCTGTAATTCCTTTCTTTTTATTCACAGTCTCTGTCCCAGGGGACAGATGGTAATGATAGCATCATAGAACTGGAATGTGCCTACAAGCCATCTAACCTTATATACTGTTTAGGGTAAAAATACTCTATCATATCCCTGGCCAATAGTTATTATGAAACTGTCAAATCACCTGTATGGACAGGAAGCTCAGTACTTCCAAAGACATTTCATCACAAGGTTGTTGGGGAACTCTATTCTGCAGAAAAGGCTTTCTTGTAGTTGTTCCATTAAACTAGAGGACAGAGGAGGGTCCTTGTTTATCCTTCACTATTTCAATCCTGCATAGCTAATTGTTAGATACATTTTCCAGAATGTCAGATGCTCCTAATTTCTCTTAACGTCAAATGGATAAAATATACATATGTTCTCTAGGTATGGTGTGTTTGTTTTTATTTGTTTGCCATTTTTTACCATTCATGGATACTTAAAGACAGTAGGCTTACTCTCAGATAGTTTTATGGTGTTGTTTCTTCCTTATGTATTTGGAATAATTCACAGGAGAAGACATTTGGCCTGGAAGTTTTCTTTTAGAAAGTGTTTCAGTTATGGAGCAAATTAATAGCTATACTATTATTCAGATTTTCCATTACTACTTTGTGTCAGTTTTGATAATCTATATTACCTTAGAAAGTGCCATTTTATCCAGAATGTCAAATTTATTAATATGAAATGTTTTCCTAATATTCTCTTGTTTTCTTTTTAATTTATATAGCAACCCCCATCCCTTTTAGTTATATTGCTATTTGTGCTATATTTGTTTTTCTTGGATTAGGCTTGCCAGTGGTTTATCAATGTTACCAATTTTTTCCCCCAAAGAATCAATTATTTGCCTTGTTGAAAACATTTGTCTATTTCACTGATTTCTGTTCTTTGTTTTCTTTTCCTTTAACTTTTTGTTCAATAGCTACTGTTCCTAATTTCTTCAGATGCATACTTAGGTCATTGATGTCAGCCTTTCTTCTTTTCCTGAAATATAAATGAAAGTAAATTTCTATCAGTCTAGATTCTGACTTTAACTGTGTCCCCTAATTTTGTGTCATATTCTTATCTCTAAGTTCAAGTTTTAAAATAATTTCCTTTTATTTTTTATCAGCATATAATAATTATACATATTTACGGGGTATGTAGTGATGTTTTGATACTTAAAATGTGTAGTGATCAGATCAGGGTATTTAGCAAATCCATCATCTTGAACATTTATAATTGGAACATTCAGTGTATTTTCCTTCTACCTATTTGAAACTATGTAGCTATGGAACACTAGAACTTATTCCTATTTAGCTGTTGCATTAGTCTGTTTTCACGCTGCTGATAAAGACATACCCAAGACTGGGCATTTTACAAAAGAAAGAGATTTAACTGGACTTACAGTTCCACATGGCTGAGGAAGCCTTACAATCATGGTGGAAGCCAAGGAAGAGCAAGTCACATCTTACATGGATGGCAGCAGTCTGAAAAAGGAGCATTTGTGCAGGGGAATGCCTCTTCTTAAAACCATCAGATCTCACGAAAATTACTGTCACAAGAACAGCAAAGGAAAGACTTGATCCCATGATTCATTACCTCCTACCATCTCTCTCCCGTGACACATGGGAATTCAAGATGAGATTTGGGTGGGGATACAACCAAACCATATCAGCTGTCATTTTGTATCTTTTAACAAATCTCTCTTTACCTTCACCTTCCCTCTACCCTTACCAGCCTCTAGTTATCTTCTGTTCTACTTTTTACTTCAATGAGATCAACTTTTTTTAGCTTCCACATATGAGTGAGAATAGGTGCTGTTTAACTTTCTGTTCCTGGCTTATTTCACTTAACATAATGTCCTCCAGTTCCATCCATGTTATACAAATGACAGATTTCATTCTTTTTTATGACTGATTAGTATTCTGTTTTGTATATACACCACATTTTCTTTATCCATTCATCTATTGTTGGACACCTAGGTTGATTCCTTATCTTGGCTATTGTGACTGGTGCTGCAATAATAAGTTCAGTTTTTAAAAATTATTCTGATTTTATTATTGACCCATGGATTATTTAGAAATGTATTGCTTAATATCCAAATACTTGTGAAATTTTTCTTGTTGTATCAGTTGTTGAGAGAGGTGTTAAAATTGCCTGTTATGATTATGGAATGAATGTTTTTCTTTCATGTCTGGCAAATTTCAGTGTGTGGTTTTTTACCTTTACAATGGGTGTCTTATAGAAAACATGTAGTTGAGTCTTGCTTCTTTTCTACATTCTGATATTTCTGCCTCTTAATAAGGGTGTTTATTGCAGTATAATCTAAAGTAATTGATCCAGGCATAGCCCATAATTGGGGCCTAGCCTGAGAGGGTTTTTGGCTTTGCTCAGGAAATAATTCAAGGCTGAGCCAGCAGTGAAAGAAAGCAAGTTTATTAGAGTAGCAGGTACAACAGAGTGGCTGCTCCATAGACAGACCAGGGCTATCCCACAGGTGGGGTGGCCCAGCATAGTAGCAGCAGCAGTAGCAGCATACAGCAACAGTAGCCATCCAGAGCAGCAGTCCCTGTAAATGGCTGGCTAGCTACATTTAATACTCACTGTTAATAATATGCTAATTAAAGGTCAGGTTATTTAGAATTTTCTAGAAAATAAGTGGAGGAGTTCCCGGAACCATGTAAGATAACTTCTGGGTCACTGTCATGGCATTTGTAAACTGTCATAGTGCTGGTGGGAGTGTCTTGATGCTAATGAGCAGTGAGGGTGACTAGAGGTTGCCTTCATGGCCATCAGCTGGTTCTGGCCGTTTTTTCTGCTGCATCCTATTTTGATTAGCAGGGTCATGATTAGTGCTCAGAAAATAAGTTCTGCTGATCTCCTACCTCATAATTATTGATGTGGTTAGATGTAGGTCTATCTAAACATCTTTGTCTGATCAGGAATTTTTTTGTTCTTTTCTTGCCCTTTCCTTAGAATTCCATTTTAGTTTTGGCTTTTTACCAATACATTTTTGTATCACTTTACCTTTTTTTTTTTCTTTTTTTGAGACAGAGTCTTGTTTATTGCCCACGCTGGAGTGCAGTGGCACGATCTCAGCTCACTGCAACCTCCGCCTCCTGGGTTCAAGTGATTCTCCTGCTTCAACCTCCTAAGTAACTGAGTAGCACCAACACACCTGACTAATTTTTGTATTTTTAGTAGAGATGGGGTTTCATGTTGG